TCTTCGTTGAGAACAGATTTTCACAACAGGAAAATGATGTGAATGTGAATGTGAATGTGAATGTTAGTCTTCTTGAAGTCCACATCCTTTTTCCTACTGAACAAATCATTGAGATAAAAAAAATAATCGATTCAACGATAATTCAACTTCAAATCCACTCAAGTTTTCTTCCTGATACGACAACTTTGTAAGAAATTCGAATGATAAAAAAATCCAAAACTTGTTTCTCCTTAAATATGCAAGTCTATTAGAAATAGTATTAAATTTAGAGAATGATCATTTCCAGAAAAGTTGTCGTATATAATATAGAAATTATTATAATTACCGGCAAAAGTTCAAAAACTGAGATTCATCGTTATGCAAATATTTATAACAGTTGAAAAACAATACAGTAAAAGCAGATCTTAATACAACGAATATCAATTATTGGATAATCTGAAATTTTCAATTTGTTTTGCGTCGCTGAGATCCTAAAAAGTCAAGCTGCTATGTTGATTTTTAAGATTGAACGAGCATTTGAACAGTATCGAATATTTTTGTCAATGAAGTGAATCTCATTTTTCCTGATATAAAACCGTATAATGTCTTACTTGTAGCAATATTAGTTCTAAAACAACGAAATGTAAGAGAATCGTTATAATATCATTGAAAATTGAACCATGTTGTATCTTCGTATCGTTCTTTTCAGTTTTACATTAATTTCCATTGGAAAATATATGGCTGAGATACTGATGGATTTTATTCAAACATGTAAAACATAGTTGATGAAAACCAATGAAAAATGAATCAAATTATTAGTATACAATGAACCACTGAAGTTCAAGCTGATATAGTGACAAAATCAGTGTTAAACTCATTTTTGAACAGATGATAGAACTTTGACAATGTATCACAATTGTATTCTATTAATTGAAAATTTCAGATTTGGCTTTTCTATGAATATACAACTAGGAAGTTATTAATTGGATGAAATGCGTGGCCTTGCCTAGCACTAACTGAATACATCTTTTACTAATTCTTTTATCACATTGCAGGTGGTTGAATGTTTCTTAAAAAAATAGTATTTTATTTTTGAAAACTCACGCATAAACACTGATATACTGTTGAAAGTACTACGAGAAAATGTTTAATTAGGTAAGATATAACTAAACGTACATATATATATAATTATAGAGAGCTCGTCTTAATCTTAACCTATTTTATAATTAAATTTTGTAGAAATTCGAGATTAAAATGAATTAAAACATTATGTTGATCGCAATGACACTCACTGAGCTTTGATCGAGTTTGATCAATGTTCTATCAGGATAATTTTAAATCAACACTGCTTAAGATTGAATTAATGAATTTACCAAATGAGTATTAAAATGAGACAATAGAACGAGCGGTATCTTATATACGACTAGTAGTCTGACAATGATTAAATCACTTCTCTTTGCTTTCAACATTTAACGTATATTATTTTTGTCATTAAGAAGTCCTAGAAATAGTTTCACAACTGATATGATAGAGATGCTATCGTCGGCAAACTTATAGATTATAGACTAGTGTGAAACAATCGCCCTCTAGCGGGTCGTGCACATTTGTTACATGTGTATTGACGAGTTTGATAGAATACACCAGTTGATACTATCCAGTTGATCATATAGTGAAGAGTATAGCTTTTAGTGTTCGTCATTGCGATATATATTGTTATAGTTTTAGTTTTTTATTGCAAAAAAATCAGATGAAGTGACTAAGAACAATCATGCAATCAGGATTAATACTAATAGATTGATCTTGTATTAGAAAACAACTGTGAAATAAGTCAAATTATAAGGATTTTATTACTAAATATGTTTAAAATGAAAATTATAAAAGTGCATCAATAATCAAAACAGTTCTCTTATTTGAGACTAAGAATATGATTCAAGAGGTTTCAATAAAATGATTAAAATTGTTGTCATAATTGAATGATGAATATTCATCAATATCTATGAAGATTGAGAACGTTTTCTTGAAAGCTTTACCACAGCCACTTTATTGAATGTTTTGGTTTTGTTAGTTGTTGAAGACATATTAGGCTTAGAATGATTTACTGTTGATTGTAACTTAGTGGCTGCTCTTTTCAATTTCTGAACATTAACAGTACTAATGGACGATGATCGTGCTCGTTGATTGACAGATGAATTAAGATGATTGTTTTCTGGTTGGGCATTAATGATACGTATGGCTGTAACATTAGCACTTTTAGTGTTAGAAGAAAGCCTAACATTTTGTTGATTTTTCTCGTGATCATGAAGTTTAGCATCAATGATTGGCGTTGATTGAGTTCCAGCAGTGTTAGTACGAGGTATTTTCGTGACCGTAACTTGATGATTTTTAGTTGATGATGTTGATAAAACACGTAGCTCTTGTGGAAGCACAGCTTCTGAATTGATATCTTGATTGTTATTTGATAATTTTCTTACATGTTGAACCTTCACTGTAGAGGATCGAAGAGCTGGTATGATATCATCGACATTCTCTATTGCCTGTTCTCTTGGTGTATTTCCAGACTCAAGTGGGCCTTCAGTTTTAGTTATTTGTACAATCTTAATATTATCTGCATTCTTTACAATAGAAGTTTCTATTGGCATGTTTTGATTTATTTGTGTTCGTGCGAAAGAATTGTTGACATCGGCACTTTTATTGAGTACATTGCGAGCATGAGAACTTTTATTTCGTTCGATTATTCGGGGGCTTCGATAAAATACTGCTGATGATTGTGTCATGTCTTGTGTGCTGGATAGTAGATATTTGCGTTGTTGGATTATATCATTTATTCGCTTTCGTCGGCGGCTTTTTTCAGCAGGAATCCTATGAAAAGTACAATGTATGTTAAATACGAAATATTTCCTAGCACTATATTTTTCTTATTATTTCAGACAAAACTTACCAAAGAAAACGGTATAAACAACAAAAACAGCATATAATCATAAGTAGACCCAATAATGACAAGCCCAAAATCAGTGGCCAATTTATAGGATTTCCTATTTAAAAATGACAACTGATATATAGATTAATATATAAGAAAAGATTAAAATAACATGCCATAGTTGTTGAAAAATAACAAATGACAAGAACTGAATTTTCGAATAAAAGACTAACATATCAACTAGGATTTTCTTTCCTCACCGGATAAAAAGAATGAACATTTAGTAATTCAGAAATTTTCAAAAAGTTTCTAGTGATTGGGAGATAACCAGTCTATGTCTAGATTTCATGTAAATTACTAATAGATGTTCACAGATCCTACCTGGACTTTGGGTTGTTGTCATTGTAGTCCTATAATATAAAATAAGACACTTTCATTTCATCCTTCTAGGACAACAAAACAAAAGAACATAAGATCTTCGGCTGATATCGATTGTTTGTAAAATTTCATTCAAATCAAAATCTCTAAGGCAACCTTTTGAGATGTTAACAAAATTGTGAAGTTTATATACATATATATGCATTAGTTACTTGAAACTTGGAAAGTCATTTGAGAATGCATAGTATGAAATCGATTCTTTCTCAAGATTGAAATGTATTCTACTATTACTTACGTTGTTGTGCTCGTAGATGTTGTTGACGTGGTAGTAGTTGAAGTGGTGGTTGTCGTTGAAGTTGTAGTAGTTGATGTTGAGGTGGATGTAGTAGAAGTTGTAGTCGACGTTGTTGTTGTGGTACTAGTAGTTGTAGTGCTTGTGGTGGATGTTGATGTAGAAGTCGTCGTGGTTGTAGTTGTTGTTGAGGTTGTGGATGTAGTTGTTGTTGAGGTTGTGGATGTAGTTGTTGTTGAGGTTGTGGTTGTAGTTGTTGTTGAGGTTGTGGATGTGGATGTTGTTGAGGTTGTCGATGTTGTTGTTGATGTAGTTGTTGTCGTTGTTGTTATTGGTATACAAAGTACAAATGATGTTACTACATCGAATGTGATACAATATTCTGATGATTGTACTTGTTCTCTAGTTAATAGGATCACGACATCATACATGGAATAAAAGTTAGTAAAAAAAAAGACTTTACTCTGTGAAGGCAACGACACACAATTCTTGTAATCCAATTTGATTAGCTTGTGGTGTCCAAGTGAAAGTTTTATAGGATAATGATGAATTTGAAGATGATTTCGTCAGACTTCCAATTACCATACCAGATATTCCATTTGTGACAACAATTTCGTCAATATCAACGTCATTTGGGTCACACATCGTCATGGCATAAATATTAAAACTCTTTGCAATACCAGTAAGAACTTCCATACAATCTGTAACAGGGATAATCTGTGGTGACTGTGGACAGAATGGTTCCGGCATGACATAAATTAAAAATTGAACTGGTACCGAACTCATTGGAGTATTACTTGATGAATTGATAAAATCTTCTACCTATATAAATAGAAAAGAATTGAATTTCATCTTGAAATATTAGAGTCTCAAAGATGTAGTAGGAAGGGTATGGTGAAATTTGAAGCTTGATATCATGATGTTTTCATAAGATATTCATCAAAGAAATGTCACAGAAAAAGTTAATATAACAATGCACAGTTTTCTGTGAGTCACTATTCTATATATTTTATTTTTGTTGCTTTTGAGAACGTATGCTAGGCTGTAAGACCTGAAAGAAACCTTTTTTTTTCTTAAATTCAGAGCTACTATGTCTTGATGGATACGTTGTTCGACACCTATCGACAGGCACCGTATTCAAAAAATCTCACTATCATCAGTAATAGAATGACCGTGGATACGTGACTAACGGCTATCTCTAACGACCAGTTCAAAAATATGTTGACTATGTTGTGACATACATTTGCACTGGTGGCTGGTGTGTGGTTAATTAGTGTATGAAAAGCTTAGAAAGTTGAGCGCAAGACCCTTAAGGAAGACTGACTTTCTTTCCAGAACTATTATTAGTACTATTTGTAGGAAAGATATCGAGCTATGGGATCTGTTAATAAATCGTAGACCATCTCGAAATGTAGCTGAAAAGCAAGGATATACTTCCTTGCTTCTCTTCTTTTTTAAACTCTTACTTTTCTGTGGGAGGCTAAAAGTGATAAGTTTAGTATCATGAAACACTCTGAAGAGATAGGAGTTTTAACAGCAAAAGGATTTCATAAGATCCTACAATCTGATATGCTTTTTCAAAAGTAAGAAAAATAAAATATATATATAATGAAAGTGCGTAGAAAACTTTGAGTGGTTATGTTAACTACTTTTTGTGACACTTTTTTGGTTCATATCTCATGAAAATTTCATCGTATGTTCTCTACTATTACATCTTCAACCTATTCTGAAAGCATCATATGAAATGATTGCTTCTAGTCTAAAATCGATTTTGAGATTTTGGGCCTTATTTATACATACTCTTTAAACTTAGTAAAAAAACGTTTCTGGACCCAAAGATACTCTGAAACAGTTATCACTTAGAAAAAGATTTCAAAATAATGATTGCCTCATTTAAGATGAAGCACTGACTTTTTTTTTGAATGGTTGTGAACTTCAGTAGCTTTTGAGTTGAATTTCAACTTTGTTTTAAATAAGTTACTTACTTGAATAGCAACTGCATACCAAGTATTAGGCACTAATCCTATAAACGACAGAGTACAATTGGACAACGTTGTGCCGTTCGGTAAACTGCCTGGATAACAAATACTACCACATTCATCAATGGCTTGTCGTGTTGCATACGATATTGTTGATGCTAATGTTCCAGGAGTTTCGGTAGTAGTCGTTGCAACAGTAGTTGATAATGATGGGCAACCTTTATTTTTTGTACAACTTGAACCATTACAAGTAGTTCCGATACAACCGGAACAACTGCAAGAACATCCTTTTGCACACCAACTAGAGCAGCTACCACAACCACCTCTTTTGTTTCTAATATGAATAGTTTCTGAGTCTATAAACAATTTTTTATAGACATGTCTAAAAGCTTTATACTGGCGATGTTTGTCTTCAACTGATCGTCTTCGTCGATTAACTCCTGGTATGTATTTTGACCATCGACAACGCACATCATCACCGACGTTGGCATCCGAAACAGGAATTTTAATCTGAGTAGATGTATTCACAATAGCATATTGTGGAGAAACAACGCTTGCCACTGGTGGAGTGTTAATGAAACCATCACCTCGAAGTCGAAGATCAATGAAAGTTGTTATTGACCATTGAAGACCAGTTTGAGCTGGATAATTCAGTCCTACCCAAGCACTTCCCATATATGATAAGTAAAAATGTGCATCAGCCGTCAATGTAATATTGACTGATCGTTCACTTGTCATCATACCTAATGCTGAACTGGTTGAAGTACAGTCAGTTAAAATATTAACTGGTTTAGTTGAATAGCCACCATCAGTTGAACAGTCAGCCGTACATGTCAAATTAGCATTTGCATTACTTCTTCCACTAGTTGAAATCGGTACATTTGTTGCACAACTTATAGTCGGGTACGCCCATGAGTATATCTGTGTGATAGTAATTGGAACTGTGGAGGAATTTGCATAAGGACTTATCGGCTCCCATTGAATGGTACCCCCGTTAAAATGCTTTCCGTCGATAAGAACAAAATAATAAAGTAAAGTCAGTGTATACGTAATCATTACGTTCTCGTTTCTCGTAAAAAATCAATATCTAGAAAAATTCATTGAATCTTTGTTTATCTATTATAGAAGATATAATTATAATTATTTCGCGAAAATTACACTTATTGAGCGAAGAAATATATCTAACCGTTGGACATCATTTGACTTCGCATTCAAGCTATCCGTGCTTCTCGGTGAGATTAAGAAAAATTTATAAGAATTCGAACCTACAGCCTACTATTGAAGAATGATGACAGTTTTAATGAAATTTTTACTGAGAACAAATCATTTTCTACAAAATCTGAAGTAAGAACTTTGAATTGAAATTAGGCCTATAAGTGTCTCTAATAGTCATTGGATAGTCCTAAAAATATTAACAAGAACAAACATGTCTTTCTTGACCTATTCAATATCTAAAAATACGGCGGTTTACCAAAGGAGCACACACTATTAAATATGCTTGAATTATCATTAAAACTTCCAGAACTGTCTAATGACTATCAAATGTACCTATAGACATAATTTTAGTTCGAAACTGTTTGTTTTCGATTTTTTCCAAAATAACTTACCCTTAGAAAAATCTCATTTCAAAAGCTGTAATTCTTGATAAGTAGATAATGGATATGAATATTTTCAAGTTTTTCTTAGTATTACCGAGATCTACTCGTATATATAATGTGAAGTCAAACAGTTTCTGTCACTTGAATATATTCCCTCATTAGAAATAATAGGATTATCATATGAACAGGAAAAAACATTCAATCAAACGTCTTCTTTCAATATCCTGCAACAGATAAACTAAAATAAAATAAGAAAAAATAACTCGATTGAAAAGACTTTTCGATGTGAGATTCTCTCATATTTTTCTAATCTTAATAAAGTCTATTTAATACTAAAACAAAACTCCTTACAAAAGCAATCTATCATAGTTGTACTGTTGAGAAAGTTACATTTCTTACTGATCGTGATGATAGTATTTGAATGTATATTCGACGTGCTTTTCAACCAAGATTGTAATAATTTGTGTGACTGTCGTCTTACTGTCACATATATAAAACAAAAATTTTTGTTTTTTCTATTTGAAAAAAAGAATGTCATACTTTTCAATATTATTTTGATAAGAAGAATAATAATATTTTGATATCTCTATGTAAAATACAAATAGAAAAGTAATTAAAAATTTAACACAGTTTCTTTATGCGATCATTCGAAGCAAGAAAAGTAAAATAAATAACTCCTTGGTTACTTTTTCATTCGATTATTAGAAGAACAAAAAATATACAAACTTAATGCATACCTCTAACATCATCAACACCTATTCTGTTAGAGATTGTCTTTCAACGGAATCATAACTTACTTTCGATAGGCTAGAAATAAAATTAACAGAAATCCTTTCTTCAAGACGAAATTTAAGTTAGAGACTTTATTACTTCATGAAAATATTGATGTATCTCTATTTTATGAATTGATTTCAATCTATTCTAGTTTCGAAACTTCTAATTTTAAAGATTCATTAAAAAAATTTCTGTAAACTTGCTCATATGGATAGATCAAGTCTAATGATTATAGGAAGCAAGATTGTATTCGCAAAATTCAGACATTTTTAGATGAAACAAACTAATGAATAGAGTCTTTGCAAATTATCTTACACAAAAGTTTCACTAATTAGTCATCTTGATTCTGTTGACTATCATCGTGTTCAAACAAATATAATACATATGTAACTAAATATGTTAGAAGCACTTGAGATACTTGTTTCTATTCATCAAAATATAATCCCAGTGAATCACATCTATAGTTATATCTTCTTCAAATATAAGTTTGATTCAAAAAATAACACAATTCAATCTATGAAATCAAAATTCGTTGGTTGAATTCGTTTTCAAATAAAGAAAAATAAACAATTTTTTTTGTTTCTGTTTAATTTTTTTTATACTCGAAAAATGTTTTTTTACAAATTGATCAAACAGAATATGTTTATGTCATCCAGTAAAATATAATATAGCTTCTTTGATATACAGACGTTAATTGATTTTTTTTTCTTCTATGTATTATTCTGAATACAATTGATTCTGAAATTAGCAGAACACGAAGAAAATGGATAAAATATAATGCTTCCCATATTGATTAAAGTTCGAATCAAGATAACAAACTGCAAGAAAAACTTGCTTTCATTTTTGTACAATGTACATATAATAATAGATCTGTATCATGAAAACAGGATACAAATCGATAGAATTTAATGAAGACTTTACATTAGTTCAGTAGATATTAATTCAGAAGTAAATACAAGTATTGCATTTAGAGTTCAAACGAAAAATACAGTAGTACTTTGATGTCTGCTGCCTTAACTATATTTATTTTTTTGTTCTTTTATATATTTACAGAAATAGAAGAAACATTTTTCATAAGAGTTTTGTTTTAACATTTTGTTCTTGATTTTATAATCCTTACAGAGTTATTTGATTGCATTGCCGATTTCATAATTGAATTTAAGAGCAATATACCGTGACATCGTCAATTGAAAATGACAAGAATATTGAATATTTATTTTTCTTTTAATAAACTTCTATCAATGAGTAAGAAACTTTAACGATCTATGATCACTTATTTCGAAGAGGTTAACGTATGTAAAAATTGAAAGATTGAACTTTAATAACTCAAAGATCGATTGTTTAAATTTTTAACAAATGTTTTTATGTAAGTATCATCTTCAATCAGTAGGATTGATTAAACAGATAGCGCCTCATCAGTAAATAAATAATCTCTCTGAAATATTCAACTTTTCTACTAAATAGTAAAAATGCATCGAAATATTTCAATAAAGAACAAAACATATTCAGAAATCGTCTAGATCAGTCAATATTTACACTAAATCACTTGTCACTTAAAATTCTATTACAATAGTTATATTTAATTCTTTAGTTTTACACTGTTGTCATAAATACAATGACATATACTGAATTTCTTAAGAGCAGTATCATCAATATATTCCACTAAGTACAATTTTTTATAAAGAAACCGTTTGTTTTCATTACTTTTTCTTTAGTTAACCTGATTTTAGTCTTGATTAAAGACAACAATCATATTTTAATGTATTTTTGATAATTGATGAAATGTATTAACAAGGCAATTTGGTTTTTTTTATAACGAGAGATATATCTAAAAAAATTTTTTTTTTCATACTTCAACTTAATCTATATTAGATTGCTCATTGTCAGTGACTTCTCACAATAAATTTTCATTAGTAGTTGAAGTATTGGCTTACTATCTATGATTGTTATGTAAAATAAACTATAAATAGGCGTGAGTTATAAACACATATAATTCACACTCGATATGTCTATCAACAGTCTTCAATGATCGTAAGGGAATTGATATCATTAATGGCTGCATTCCTTCATTTCATATGGTTAAAATTTTAAACAAATAACATAGAAGTTCTCGTCACTGTTTTCACAAAAATAGTTTTTTCATTATCTTGATGTTTCATATTAACAGGACTGGTAATTAATTGAAACATCATTAAAATAAAAAATACAATGCATTAGGATTTCTTGTGTTTGTCATCCGTCGTGTTAACAGATAATAGTAGATCGAAACTTGAAAGTTGTTGAAAGTGTAATAGTAAAATTTGAGCTAGTTCATTTGTACTTAATAATGACATTTATAAAAATGTTTTTTCTTCATTTGAATAATAAACGATTTTCTTTGGATGCAAACAAATAAATAGGATAAAACAGGGGAGAACATTTCTTATTCCAAAACAGTTTTAGATCTATTTATGCATACTCTTGATCATTGATCTAACTAGCACTACTAATAAATTCACTTTAACTGATTTCATATTTCATTATTTGACTTCAAGAAAAAAGAATCATATTCTGAAAGGGTTAATTCAGTCTATCTCGTATACTCTCATACAATTTTGTTTTTAGAAATGTCAATAAGTAGAATTTTATCTCAAAATAAAAAAGCCAATCAAATGAAGTTAGTGATACTGTAAGTGAATTTGTGAAGACCTAAGTCAATGATTTGTTTTGAACTTCCAGTAGAAAAACTCTGTAAGATAAGAGAAACTTAGAAGTAGGTAACTGATGATCATGTTCGGTAGTCAGTTTTCCTTGCTTATTGTCGTTTCTAGTCAGAATCAGGATTATTAAATCACAAAATTCTGAATATCATATTAATTTTTCCCAGTTCCTACTATTTTCTAAAATTTCCTGGCTGAAACTGTCCGTATATCATTCATCGAGAACCTGGCCAATCATTTTCATTACTTTTCAGATTTGTATGTGATTTTAATAGTTTATTTTGCAACAAATTATGATATTAATATTTAATTCTCATTAGTAAATTGTTTAACCAAGCTTCGATATGAATAATTAAGATTTTTCATTATGAAATTCAAGTAATATTCAAATTTCTTCACTAAAAATTCTTTTCTAAAAATGATTTCGAAGCAATCAGTAAAAAATAATATCAATTAAAATAAATTTTTCTAGGAGGCAAATGGAAAAATGATAATTTAACTGAGTTCATCGCAAACTGTTTTCTCACCTGAAATAAATTGTATACTATGACAATATTCAAAAAGAAATAACTGCTTTTTATCCATAAAAATTCAATCAAGATTAATTTAGTAACATTTGAATAATTTCACTATTATTACTCAATGCTGTGGAACATAAGAAAGAAAACAAGTTCGAACTATAAAATTTGTATTATTAATAAAATTGCTATTACTAAATAGTTGCATCACTCATTACGGTTACAGATGCTTCAGACTAGTCTAGTCTCTTACACAATGCAATTGAAAATGTGATAATAGATGGATTTCAGTTGACGAAAACATACAAATTGTCAGCCCATGAAGATTTTTTCTTTTTTGAAATAATGATCAAGCAAAAGATTCGTTCTTCGATTGCCAATAAATATGACTGTGACTACAAAAAAGAAAAAATATCAATAACAATGAAAGTAAACGCCGTAGATTTGTTCCTATGATCAAATGGTAGATCTCTTCATTTAAAATGTTGGAAAGAAAATATTTCTTAAGAAACAAGAAATAGTCTCTTGTTTTTTACAATTGATTCGAACCGATGAAATACAAAAAAAAATCATGATTATTCTCTGCCATATAATTTTCCATGATCAAATTCAGTGTCTAATAAGAAGTTGAATATTTGTAGTCATGTTAAAAATTCGTTGAACATTTCAAGCAGTTTTTCTTCTCCTTCTATTAATTTATCTTGACATTATCATCGATAAATTGTCATCAGTCATCAAAATTATTTGTTAATTACATTAATAAAGAAATGAAATTTGTATAAACTACTCATTCAATAACTTTAGTCCCATAATGATTATAATGTAATTAATAAATATTTTCATGTCTTTTTTATTTCATTCATTTTTAAAGAAATGAACATTTCATTAACATTTTTTAATTGAAATAATTAAACAGTGGATGATTTAAGAGCTAGTGTTTATACTTATTGTATTATTTCAGTTAAAAAAAGGATGATAAGAATTAAATTGATTCATCTTTAATTAATAAAATGAATTTGCTCGAATAATATCTGATTATAAATTTTAACCTGTGAAAATGAATCCATGATAATAAAGCAGACCAACATTTATACTAGATCAATGCTATATGAAGAACAAAGCAAAAACAAACAGAATAGGAATTAAATGATACATAAACAAATATAATGTTATTCTTCTTTTAGAACAGATCTTAACAGAAACAAAATGAACACTCATTCTAGAACAATAATTATTCTATTTTCTTAATAAAATGGACAATTAGCTTCATATCAGTGCAGTTTTACTAATTTTTTTTTTTAAACTAATACAAATGCTATAAAACCATGATTGTCCCATTGAGATATAGTCTTGATAAACAGCTAAAGCAATCTGAAAATTAATACAAAAAACGGTCTGATAGTCTAATCAATGTTTGATTCATTTTTTTTTCCATTTTTCATAAATTTTCAGATAATAATTAGTTTAAAAAAAAAGCAGGGAGATTTTTATCATCAAAATATTTTTATTTGTATTACAATAAATCTTCTATGCAAACGATTTTAAACGATGAAAATTTATTATTAGTTTTGTCTTGCTGTCTCAAATGATTGCCTTCTAAATCCATGTACACAAGACTCTAATTGACTATTATTATTGAAGAAAAAGATCTTTCGTTTCTTCATTTAAACCGTCAAGAAAAGCTTCAATATTTGAATCGATTAATTATTCATTGTCTATTCAAATGTATTCGTTCCGTTACAAAAAAAAGAACAAGAACGTGTCGAAAACAACATCAATGATTCATCCATAACTTAATTTATATTGTCGAAGTCTTTCATTAAGTAATGAATACAGAACAGTGTAAACAATGAAGAAATCGTATTTTTCTTCTTTTGCATCTATTGTAAAATAAGCCAAAGTATACAATTTTCAAGATATAAACAGTAATTTGGTGAATTTCTTTGAGAAATATATATTAACATTTCAATAGATAAATGATTTTCTAAGTATTTCAAGCAATATCTGTTGATTTTTCCATCTGACTTAATAAAACTCATTTTTCAACTCGAAATCTTCAGTTTAATTTTGCATTGAAAACTTGAATCTATGTGGAATTCTTAAAATTGAGCGAGATTTAAAAAAAGTATTAAAAATTCTGATTATATAGTCGTCGTATATTACACATTTGTAATTTATGGGAAATCATTTAGTCTAATTTCAAAATATTTCTATTCGTACTATTCGATTAAAAAAATATTGCAATCTCCCAAGACAATATTGTTAACAAACAAAATATTTTTCTTGTTACTTCCTAGCTTGAGTTAGATTTTAACTCTGTTTAAATGTTCGAGTGAGTAAAGGTGACACATAAAAACTTTTTTTTCTCTTTGACACGGTCAACAGGTTTCGCTTCCCATCTTACAAACCTTTTCACATCGAATGATTGAAATATATTTCTCATGTTCTGATTCTCTAGAAGAAAAAGCAATCTATAATGTGACACATGTTATTTTATGCTTCGTTTCAAATAAGTTTTTTGTGTTTCTGTCGTTGTCGATATGAATATCGAAAAAAAAACAACAGGTAGGCTGCACGATATGCACTGTGTGGTGAAGCAAAAACGAACAAGAAAAAAATTTTTTCTTTTCACGATAACTCACTCTTTAGCGACAAAAAAGGAAGCAAGCACATTCATCCATTAGCATGTCTAAAACTATCAAGAATTTCAAAAGCAATGTACAACATATTCATGACATGATTAGAAGAAGTAAGTTTTTCTTATACTGTTCTCTTTTTATTGAAAACAGATACAAGTGATTATAAAAAATATTTTTCATATTTTTCTGTTATTTCTTGTACAATGCTTCATTTACAAATGACGTAGTAGGAACGAGGATTGATGATGAGAAAGAAAAGTAGTGAGGCGTTACTTATTTTGAGTCAATCATCTTGTCAACGATAGAAAAACAAGCAAAACAAGCCTGCATAATCACGTCACACATGACGTTTCGTTATTTATCTTCAAAAGGTATTTGACTGATCATATAATGAGATTATTCAGATGTTAGAAGGCAACGTTTTGCTCAAACTAAACGAATCGAACAAAGTAAAAACAAACTCAGTTTCAAGCATCACACATAAGAATGAGTACTGAACAAAATTGTAGTTCATTGGAAAAGAACAGCAAATTTCGATCATTGATTCGATTTCATTCGATTTTTTTTGTAACGATATTTCTTTAATAATGATTGTATTTTATTGTGATCATCAGTGTTGTGCATTGAAATGTTTTTAGAATCATCAAAAACTCGTCAGGCTCAATCAAGTCAATTCAAATCAAGTGAAGCATTTAAAGATAATTTTTTCCAAGGAGAACAAAGCGTCAGTTTATCAGGTAATTATATTAAATTGAAATATGAAGACAATTGGAAACAAAAAAAAGTTTTTGAGCTGAAGAGACAATGCCTTCTATTAATTCTAATTAAACCTATTTAGATAAGTCCTGGCTCGAGCTTCAATATCATGATCTTAATGCAAAATTTATAAAAATGCCACACGAATTAGAAAATGACATGAAACAACCACCAAGTCCACTCAATGAAAAGATATTAGACCGAGTCCATGGGTCTATGATCGGAATGGCAATAGGTGATGCTCTTGGTGCACACGTTGAATTTCGACCCCGTCAATATTTGGTTGAAAATCCTGTTACTGATTTTCAAGCAGGAGGAACGTGGGGTCTTAAGAAAGGACAGGTATTGTAATTTCATCACACTGTATATTAGAATGAAACTCAAAATATTATTAGTAAAGTCTTTTCTTCAGAAGAGTTTTTCGTATTGAGAATACTGAATTCAGAATAGCCGAATACGTGCCGTGTTATTGATTGATTGCATATACTTTTCAGTGTTAGATTACTCTCCAATACTTGTTAGGCACTTGGAATTTTGGAAATGAGAGGATTTAGTTCACTTCATCATATAACTTATGACAACATTTTCAATGCAGAACACTCAATATTCTCAGATGTACTTTTCAGTATTCCCTCAATTGACGAAAGAACCAACCGAAATGAGACCTACTTTTTGAGCTTCTATTTGGCTCACAAGGATGTCTCAGTGAGGTTAGAAAAAGTCTACAAAGGTTTGTCTTTATTAGTTTTTGAAGCCGAGTTGGAATCTTATTATTGAGTTTTCGACTCAGATCTAAATGCATATAAAAAAATTAAAGAAAAAGAATTTTGTCAAATAGTTTTGCTCTCTTATAGATCGAACGACTCGTGAAGCATTCTAGAAGTTTTAGCTGAAAGCAATCTTCATTTCTCGAAATATCAAATATCTAAAATAAATAATCACTTGCGGCGGGCTTGATAGAAAAATCGAGCCCACTTCAAAATGCAATATCTTGACAACAGAGATGTCCATCGCGGCTGAAAATCTGCCGCTGCCGCGCCGCGGCCTTAGAAAAAAAAAGCTGCCGCACCGCTGCCGCGCCGCGGCGGTTTATAAAAAAATGTTGCCGCGACGCTGCCGCACCGCGATGACTTATAAAAGAAACGCTGCCGCGCCGCTGCCGCGATGAATTATAAAATAAACGTGCCGCCACCGCGCCGCTGCCGCGACGATTTTCAAAAAAGTGTTTCTAATTTCACTGCTGTGACTATATTTGACCAGAGATATGGGTACTAGTCCATCAGATTTATCCAATATCAGGGCGTTTCATTTGTAAATCGTGAAATTCTATTAAATTCATACAGTTTTTCAATGTCCTCCAAAAAAATCCTGCCGCTGCCGCGCCGCTGCCGCGATGGTTTTTTAAAAAACCTGCCGCTACCGCGCCGCTGCCGCGATGACCTTTAAAAAAATCTGCCGCTACCGCGCCGCTGCCGCGGTGATTTTTTTTAAAAACCTGCCGCTGCCGCGCCGCCACCGCCACCGCGGCAGCGGCAGCGGCAGCGGCAGCGGCGCGGCAGCGCCGCGATGGACATCTCTGCTTGACAATAAAAGCATTATTTTTGACTGTAACTTTAAGGACATCGTACAAATGATTAGACCTATCTATGTACAAAATTTTACGTTGAATTTTTTCTTGATTTTTCAGTCAATATTTAAAAGATGAGCTCAAAACTTAGTAAAAGGATCATAATTCAGATCCAAGGACTACAGGAACGAATCTTTTAGAGTTTAGTTAGTCTTATTAAGACATTCTTATAGGCATAATATGGACTCAAACGGCAGGTATCAATGTGAATGATTCCCTTATGAAATAATTTCTCGAGATCAGAGGAGGAATAGTGAAAGTTTCCGGTTTGAAATCTCGTAGAAATTCTGAAGTCTTATCTAGCCTTTAGAAAGTCTATGAGGTTTTTCAAAGTCTTGACAATCACTGTTTCTCACTCTCAATTTTTAGTAGAGTATCCATGCTACTTTGCTATGACGGTATTTATTTTGATAGCCTAAAAGTCAATATCCTTATATGTTATCTTTAAAAGACTGTTTAAGGAGTCTTTTACAACACTCCCGAAGAATAGCAACAGAGCCTTCTAAGACTTCGTGAGAAACCCATTGAGGATTCACTGAGTATTTGTTGAAACTTCACAGTGATTATTATGACTTTTGTCAACGGTCACATACGATGCCATTTATCATCACATTCATATACACTTCGTGTCTGGAGGAGGAGGAGAAAGTGATGGAAAAGACAGCAGAGGCTTCAGTCTTTAAGTCTAGAAGTTCTATGAAGTCTTGATGCGTACTGTTTCTCACTGAGGCGGGAGGAGGGATAGTTATTTTTCTCATATGTTCTTTGCCCGTATATGAAAAAAGTTCTTTGTATTTTGCAAATAAGACTTACTCCTTTAATTGTTAGTACCATCAATTTTTATATAAAAAATAGAATTGATTCTCTGTAATTCTTTTAAAAAATGAATGCTGCATTCGAACCATAGAAGACATGTCCTTCCTCATCAACTCTTCAGCAAACTTTCACAAACTACATGTTTTTCATGAACTTTCTGTAAAGTCATTAGGATTCCACATATTTTTTAGCGGATCCACTGGCGACTCTATAACTGAAGATTGACTCGAAAAATTTGGCTAGTGTTAGTAAAGACAATATTATCATACTGTCAATCGCTCTTCTGTGGATAGTGCATAAATATGAAGAACAAGAAAGGATCTTGTAGTTGAGAATTGTTCGTTACCATCTCTAAAACACAAAAGTAAAAGTTCAATTTTTCTTTATATATATAAACTTCGAGAAATCGTTGCGAATAATTAAAATATGCTTTTCTACTGTATTTCATCAACGAATGCCAGTAAATTTCCAGACAGTGTGTCAGAAAGTAATTTACTTTATTTGTTACCTTGTTATTTTCACTGAGAAAACCTTTTATCAACAGTTCCGTTCAAAACTGATAGCAACGCTGTATTCATCGGATAGTATCTATACTTCATAAATCAATTTTTAACACAAGAGATGCTTTTTCATATTATCTTAGTGTTTCACAATAGATCTAATTCGACTTTTTTTGTCTACATCTTTTCAAATTATATTGCATAGGCGATTAATTCAATATCCACTTTTCGTAAAGAAAATAAATACCTTTTAATGAATATATTAACCCGGCATATGCTTTTGTTTGGTTTGATGAAAAATTCGATATAGTCTGTTTGCATGTCTTCGAAAAGGAAACATTAACAAAAATATTTTTATTCGATATTATTCTACATAAAAATGATCATATGTGTTTTAATGCATGGATAGTTGAATATATATGTTAGCGTCCAATCTCGGATTCAGTCCAATCTCGGATTGGCCTAGGCGAATCATGGATGCTTACATTGGACTAGTCAAATATCGGATTGATGCAATTCGGTTCACTAAAATATCAATTACTCTTGAGATAGATGTTGGATTCGAATTACTTTTTGAAATTATATTCACATAATGTCAATTTGTTTATCAAAATCGTTGTTGGACAGATTTAAGGCCCCCCCCCCCCCCCCCACCCAAAATTTTATTTTTGCCATAGAACATCGAATCTTAACGAAATTTTCAGAATAGAGGTATCTTGGGATGGGCACCTTGTGATAAAAATTTCAGCCTGAAATCTTAAGGATTCCAGGAGATAGCTTAATATTAAGGTCCAAAACATAGGTCTTCGTGCGTCCCAGATTTCTCCGCCATTTTGAAAGCTAGAAAGCTCGGGTTTGTTTTAAAATGTAGCCAATATCTGGAACTACAACTTAACAGAGTCCGATTTTTTAATTTTTCTTTAGCTTAGTTTTTAGAGAACTTCTACGTCATGATATGAAATCAGTAGGGTGTAAATTCTCAAACATTTCCCCCTCATCTGACATCTATCACGAAATCGAAAAATCGGGCTCTGTTAAGTTATAACCCCAAGTGTTGACTACATTTTAAAACAAACCCGAACTTTCTAGCTTTCAAAATGGCGGAGAAATCTGGGACGCACGAAAACGTAAAATCAAAAAATCTCATTTCGAGAAAAACGCAAAATACTTTTTAGAAGTGTATTTCATGACTTTTCATCCAGTTATAGTGTTTTTCGATCATCTTAAATAATAAAAGACACTTTGAACTCATTATGGGTGAAGATATTACGACAAAAATTTATTAGAAAGTTCATCGAAATGATCTTAAAAACCAGATTTTAGGGTGTGGGTGTGGGTGTGAGTGTGGGTGTGTGGGGTGGGTGTGGGTGGGTGTGGGTGTGGGGTGTGTGGGTGTGGGTGTGGATGTGTGGGTGTGGGTGCGGGTATGAGTGTTGATATCTTCACGCATATCCACACTCACACTCACACCCACACCCACTCACCCATACCCACACTCACACCCACCCACACCCACACCCTAAAAGATTCGTATTACTTTTTTCTTTCGTATACTTCGAATTCTGTTTTTGGATCACAGCAAACACGATGAAAGTATAGAGAACGAACGTAAAAGAAAAACAAATATATATCTCGCTACGTGATAGAATCAATGTCAAGACAACATTCTGTACAATAGAAAGAAATATATTTTACCGTTACAAGTTGAAATGCGCAAAAAAAATTGAATTATTCGAAAGACGTCTTTTTTCATGGGTAAAGGTTTTAAGAAAAACCTCTGTAAAACCATGAAAAACCGTCGTAAACAAAATAAACTATAGTGCATTCGATAGCGGACGTGATGCTCTATCACATGCGCCATTAAAAAAAAATCGATAAATTTGACAGAAATCAACTTTTTTTGGGTGGGGGGTGGGCCTTAAGTTAAAGTTTAGGAGTTATGAATAAATTTTTACAGAACAACAACTTTTATGAAAAATTGTTATTAAGTCCTTCAGTCTAAATTTGGCTTGTGCCTGAACGCCTGCAATATTTAAAACGGCATTGTGAGAACATAATTTCAAAAAAATAATTCGAATCCAACATCTATCTCAAGAGTAATTGATATTTTAGTGAACCGAATTGCGTCAATCCGATATTGGACTAGTTCAATGTAAGCATCCACGATGCGCCTAGGCCAATCCGAGATTGGACGCTAACATATATATTCAAAATCGACACTTTTTATTTTTCGGAACCATTATTTCTGATGAAAACAAAACTCTGTTTCAACTACACACATGTAGTTAAAGGCACGATCGCATAGATTGAACTATAGCATTTTACACACATGAGAAGTCTATTATACAGATATCTCTCTATGTTAGAATTTGCAATAGAAAAAAACTTTCTGGATGTGTACTACTTGCATAGTATTGTAACAGCATTCGAATTCGCCACAAAAAGCTCCGTTTAGAAATATAAAAATAGAATAAAATCTTATTCAAAAACATTTGAAAAGTATTTTTAGTAGTAAGATGAATTCTTCTCTTCTTGTGTTTTTTTATTCTGAATGAATGTTTCATAACAATTAGGATGATATTTAAAAACTTTTCGATGGTATTTTCCCTACTACAGTAATGGAATTTTTCATGATGAAACGGACTTAATTATACATTTATTTGATTTTCATTGATTAAGATGAACATCAAATACATGCATAATTATGCCTGTTTCATCATGAAAAATGCCATTTTTTTTCACATAAAAGTCATTATTTTTTAAAATTTTTTTATTCCATGGAAATATAACATTTTTAGTTCACTGATGACACTTCCATGGCACTTTGTTTGGCTAACTCACTTGTAGTCAAAAGTGATTTAAATCTCTATGATCAACTAGTTCGTTACAAATGGTGGTATAGAGAAGGATACATGTCATCAACAGGAAAATGCTTTGATATTGGTCTATCTACGAGTCAATCATTGCAGGAATTCGAGAGTCGTCAAATGGATTTTATTAAGAAATATAACATTCCTCCTGAAGAAATAGACTATGTTGCCGATGATAAACATGTCATTCATGAATTTAACGTCTATTGTAGCGATACTGAAGTTGCCGGTAATGGAGCTCTTATGCGCCTCGGACCAGTACCACTTTTTTTCTATCGATTTCCAAAATATGCTGTAGAATATGCAGGTCGTAGTGCACTGATCACTCATGGTGATGTAAAAGCTTATGATGCATGTCGTTACTATAGTGCTCTTATTGTTGCTGCTCTTCAGGATTACACAAAAGAGCAACTTCTTGATAAACAGTTTTATTCTAAACATATGGAATGGTTTGGTGAACGACCTCTTTGTAATGAGATTAAACAGATTGCTGAAGGTTCTTATCAGAAACCAGGTGGATATGAAGATGGAATTCGAGGCAAAGGATATATAGTTAATGCTCTTGAAGCAGCTTTATGGGCATTTTGGTCTGATGGAAACTCATTTGAACGAGGTGCTCTTGCTGCTGTGAATCTTGGTGATGATACTGATACAACTGCTGCCATATATGGACAATTAGCTGGTGCTTACTATGGCTACAAAAAACTGCCTCGATCTTGGCTTAAACAAGTTTATGCTAGGAAATTTATATTAAACTTGGGCAGTTGGATTGCTTATGAAGGAGAGATGTGGCGACCATCAGACAGTTCATCTTCAAATATGTCATCTTGGCCATATGCACTTTATTCAGATGCAACGAGTACTAAAATAGCTAAACATGACCTGACCTTAAATCCAACTCATCCGCGAAGGGGTGCTGCTACTACTATCACTCATTCAACGGAATATAATGAAACAGCAAGTGCAGAAAAATACGAAAATCTAACAAAACTTCGTAAAGTTCAATCAGAGCTTTCTACGAAGCCTTCAAGCTCTCCAATAATTTCGCCGAAAAAAAAAGAAACACCTAAACAGTATAATATGGCCGCGCATTTTACTTTTGAACCTGAGTTTGAGGAAATTATTATCGGTGAACCTCTCAACCGACCAAGATTGAATGTATATCCTTTAATAAATGAAGAATTTGTTCATTCAGATAATACGATCCACTATTCTGGAAAAACACCATTTGACAATAACCAGCACAACTTGCCACTACGCTACACTCAACCAATTACTAATAAAGATGAATACGGTTCAATAGTGCGAACGACTTTGAATCAAAGATTATATGACCATGATAATAAAAATTCGAAATTGCTTGTCGAACGGCGTCCTTCAGACAAACATGTCGAATCATCTGGGAAGACTTCATTTTCAAGCCGAGCCGGACCAGGACATCCAGCACCAACAAAACACTCCAAAATGAATAAACATGATGACCTTATAGAATCAGAACCAAACTACACTTCGCAAGATATGCTTTCTTTTTCACAACCTCCTCTAAGGACCTTGAAAGGTTCATCGCCGAAATCGAGTACATCTCAATCGCGTATACCCAAAACTCATGCTAGAGAACAGCGTCTTGATCGGCCAATGCCCGGTGAGTCTCGTTTTCAAGTTACCATTGATAAACAAACTCAAAACAACCAATTATCATCAACTCTAGCAGCTGAGTGTGTAACTCAACTACCACCGGCACCTAAACAAAAACAAGAAGCACGCTCGAAAAAAACATTGGGTACAGGTTCAGTTGGCTTAATATCTCCTAGCCGAAAACATAATGACAAGAACAATAGTAAATAATTACCAAGCTCATAATATCCTCGACGAAGGTACTTTGAAGCCTCAGGAACTTTGATTCCTGCGAGGATAACATTACTGAGAAAATCATTATTTTTGAACTCAAATGTCATATTTGTTTTCATATACATATAAATTTCTTTTTTGTATCAAATAAAACTTACTCAGCGCTTTTTATTGTTCAATTTTTTTTGGCATAGGACAAATAGTTAAAAAAGGTTTATCTGTTGGATTTATCTGTGAACTTATTCTAGAGTTCGTACTGTTTATTGAAATATAACGTAACGAATGTGATCAAATGATATACTCAGCTTTTTGTTAATCTCCAAAATCTGCCGCAAAAGTCACCATATATTGTTATATTGTCTTAGAATTTGTTAAGATATTTCTGTAGATATCGGTAAAATTTTTCTAGAACTTTGATTGGAAGTTATTCATTAGGTATGAATTATTCACGCATAACATATACGATAGTAACCTTAGTTTTATCTGACATGCTTCGAATTCTTTTTTTTTTCCGAAGACTGATCAATCTACTATGACTATTGAATTTCTTTACTGATAGGTTCATAATTTTCTGAGATGATTATCATAAAGCTGATTTGGTTCATATACACTTTTCTTCACGTTCACAATTTTTTCTGCTTTTATCGACATTAATTATATATTGTGAAAAATAACTCTTCAATTAATCGTAAGCAACACGCTGATAATTAAGTTATATGATGCTGGTCTCTCATATAATCAAAAACATACACATTTACTGCTAATAAAGAAATATGTAGCAGTAATAACGTGCGTGGAACAGATCATTACTTGAACATGTGAGGACTGCTTGAGTCAAGAGGTATTATGAGAAAAAGCTTATGTTTAAGGCTTTTATATGTTGTCAGTTCAATAGATGTTTCCTCATCAATCACAGAATAAATAATATAAATATTATAGTTCATTAACGATACCTTCTAAGACATATTGTTTGGCTAAGTCACTAGTTATCAGATGTGATTTTAGTCTTTATTATCAGCAAGTTAGCTACAAATGATGATTTAGGCAAAGATGCATAACATAAATTGGGTATTGCTTTGATCTTGTCAATATTACTTGTGATTCCCTGCTTTCGTTTGAGGGTCTTCAAATCGTTTTGCTAAGAAATACAACATTAAAGTTGAACAATAAGCAAATTTTTTGCGATGAAAAACTTCTGGGTAAATTTAAAATCTATCGCAATGACGGTAAAGTCGTTGATAATGGAGCTTTTATATGTCTAGCACCAATACCACTTTTTTTTTCTATTGATTCTTACTATATACAGTTGAATTTTCTGACCACAGTGGGAAAATTGACCAAGGTACCATAGAAAGCAATCGCTCCATGTTCTTGTTAGAGACCAAGTGTATATGAGAATGGGATTCGAGTCAAAGAATATATTGTTAATGCTCTTGAAACAACTGTAGGGGTATTTTAGTCTAATAAAAATTCAATCGAATAAGGTGCTCTGGATGCTGTGAATCTTCGTGATGATACTAACACCCTAGCTACCATATATGGAAAATTAGTTGGCACTTATTATGACTTTTAAAATCTACCATAGAATGGGCTTGAATGTCTCTATGACAATAAATTTATATTGAACTTGAGTAAATCGATGGTTTACGAAAGATACAAATGGAAAAATCAACAGTAACGACGACTTCTAAGACTCCTCATGTCATTTCTCTATTATAGTTAAATAAAACCACAATTTCGAATTCTATTAATAAATTAGTTATTAATAAGTAATTAGTGCAGAATAAAGCATTTCTACAACTATTTAAGTCACAACAAGGAGCCAATGCGTCACAATAGAAGAATTATTTAATTTAACAAAAACGCATGCAGCTACTTCTGAATACTTTTGCATAAAATCATTTGTAAATGGTTCCTATAAAAAGAATTCAAATTTAAGATGATGACTCTGGTGATTACACGTTATTTTTAAGAAAGTAAATTATGAAAAGTTTATTATTGACCAAAAAAAAAAGTTTAGTTTTAAACTTGACACTCAATGAATTTTAATTATCAATGCAAATTAAGGTTATTCAATTGCATGGTGACTGTTCATAATATATGTATTATCGAAAGTTTTTGATTTTCGATTGCGAGCAACTGAAATCATATAATACAAATGTATGATTTATAACGATCGCATTAGTAACACTTATATGGCAAATAATGTAGACAGTATGAATATCAAACAGTTACAGTTTTCTCGAGATTGCCATAAAACATATGAAGATTATAAAGGATTTTTACCTTCTTCTGATAGAGGATCATATATTCCTATATGTAAATAATCAGCACTCTTAAAATTAGTAGCAAACATTTTTGAGATTATCGACTGTAGATATATTGTATTATTCTAAAAGAAATGTTACATGTACACATCACCATATTCGCATATTCTTTGACGCTTCCATAGCAAATACCGATAAGATGTATCAAATCTGATATTTTTTTTTTTGAGATGCGATCTAACAAGAATGTTGAGGTAAACAGAATAGAAATTTGTACTTATTCCGTTTCCAAATATTCTGAGAGATTTCTTAGAAGAGTTCCGCTCTCCTTGATAATAGATGTTGATGATATACATAATCAAAGACAATATATTAATAATATATGCACTATTGCCTTATTACAGTGTTGCCGAATTAACTAAAAGAATGATGAAGAAATGTGTCTCAAAGTAGATAGAACAAAAATAGTCTCTCTATAATTAGCAACAGCAGCTATATCATATGTCACATATTAATCTCGAAAGAATTGTGAGAATAACTTTTTTTTTACATGTATTTTGAAAGTGTCATATTCATCTGTTTTTCTTACAACTGAATTGATTTTTAGTCAAATTTCTAAGTTTCGTGAAAATTCAATAAGGTATTATGCATATGACTGAATAAAATCTATTGCACAATATAATAGAATATATTAAAAAACAATTCACAACACAAAAATAAAGAATATAGTCGTAGAATTTCATCACAGACATGTTTAATTATCAATTAGTTTAATATTTATGGAAAAAGAAACAAATATGTAGAATATAAAACAGACTTAATTAGTATATCTAACTATCTGTAATTATTGCTGATTTCAATCTTGGTTTCGGTTCTTTAGACATTTTAACACGTTCCATTGCATCCATCATCCATTGCATATATCGATTCATCTTTTACAAAGAAAAAAAAATTAATAATTTAACAAATAATTTCTCTTTTTAATGTTACCTCTTCTGAATAAGTACGAAGATCTAGAACAGCTTTTCTTAACGATGACAATTCTTCCATAATTGTTTTCATATCTAAATGACTTATATTCGATTGAAATCGTGAATTATGACTTGTGATATTTGAAAGTGATTCTTGTTCTTGACGTATTTTTGATGATACAAGAATCGATGCTGTTAATGGTTGTTTAGTAAGTAATGATCGTACATAAAGATTTGTAGCATAACATTCAAATTCTGACCAATCTTTATCAACTTGTCGATTAGCTCCAATCATTTCTGTTCATATGAAAATCATATGAAAATCATTTTTATTCTCTAAAAATAACTTACTAAATATTTTTGTTTCAGTTTGGTTTCTATGATTCGATAAATGTCTGAAAATTAATTTCATAAGCTCAATTATATGTGTTATAATAATAAATGGAGGAAAAAGTGGTGGTCGATCAAAATATGCACGGATTAACATATATCGTTCATAACGCCAAACAAGATCAGTATGAGTTTGAACAGATTCAAATGTAAAACTAAATAAAATCATATAGAATAGTTTATCTTTCATCATCTTACCTAAACATTGCAATAAGCAGATTAATGAGTAGAATATTTACAAATAACATATGGAAAGCAAGTAAGACATGAGTCGAAATAGACGTACTACTATCAGGATTTGCTATCAAAGAAAGAAAATATAAAATTGTTGTATTATACATCAATGATTATTTTTCTTTTTACCATCAAGTTCATTTAATTCATTACCGATATTTCCATATAGAAGATAATATGTTGGATAAAAAATATTTCGAAAAATCGATCGACCATTAAAAGATAATATATCATTATTATAATTATACATTGTTCGTGAAGCAACACCATAAGCAATAATTGCAATTAAAATAATATATGTAAAGAAAAATAAATCTATTGTCTAGAATTATTTATAAAATAAGTTTAAAAAAAAAAAGTATTATTAATTCATACCATTTTACGAATCATAACAAGTTTTGGTCCCATTTTTTGTGCTATACCCAGAAAACCTAATGAACGAATAAACCAAATCTCAAGATCATAAGCAAGAACAATTTTAGCTGCTGAAAATGTCTCTTCACTATTTGTATTTGTAAAACGAAGAATAAGACCAATATAAAATAATAGATAAGATGTAACATGAATTAAATTAAAAAATTGATTTGTTACAAAATAATTTGTTAATTTTCCAATTATTGATCGATGATCTTGAGAAAAGAACTAAAATTTCATTCAAATATGTATGAATATTTATTATACATCAACAGATGAACTTCTCAACACTTGAGACTGATATAATGAACAAATTAAAGAAATACAAAGAAATATTTTTCTTTAGGTAGATCCGCATTGACATGAAAAATTTAACAAAGCTCTTCCTCATTTTAATTATAAGTTTCTTCTTTTTAAATGAAAAGTTGAAAATAAGTTATCATAAATTAATATAAAGGAATTCATATTGAACACAATTGTTTACTTTTACAAGTTTGGCTTACAATCGTTCTCTCATTTTTGATTTCGCAAGTTATTCAATTTTCAAGTGTTCGGTAGATTTATAAATTAATGGATTTTCTCATGTTGAATTCTAATCAGAAACAGATGAATTATTATAAGAACAATATTTTAATAGCTCAATATCAACTTTCGAAATAGTGTGAATCACGATAACAAGAACACCTACACTCACATTCAAACAAAGAAACATATTGAATAT